CAGACTCCGGAGCCCAGATCTTCTGTTTAAATCCCAGCTCTGTCACGTACCCTGTGACGGTGGGCAAGTTATTTACTCTCTCCTGTGCGTCGGCTTCCTCTGGTAGTATCTGGTCCATAGGGTGGCTGTGAGGACTACATACGTATTTGTAACGCACCTAGAACAGGGCTTGGCTCTTGCCTATTGAGTACTAACTACCTGCATTGTTTGAAAAGGCTGAATTCCCCAAATGGTTCATCAAGTAACTATCTCCCCAGGAGCAAGAGGACCCACATCTTGGACCCTCCCCAAAAGTTATGAATGGGTGTCAGAAATCCAATTGTAAGTGCATGTAATAAAGGTTACAAACATACGAAAAGAGAGGATCACTTCAGGGGACAAAATTTTCGTCAGATTTAAGGGGACAAGATTTCCCTCTGGTGGGGTCTGCACACATCTGTTCTGTTCACAGGGGGCCTTTTCTTTCAATCAGTTGCTCCTTCGCTATAATGTTTACAGCATTCCGGCAGCATGATGGCCTGCCAGGGCAACTTTAAGCGCTGGGTCATTCGTTTGTAGGGAGAAGGCTATAAGGAGGTCTGCCTGGAAAGCCTGTAATTTAGAAATGCTCAAATCTTTGCATCCAAATGGAAAATGGAAATGGTGTCAGGTTTGTGCCAAAAGGAAAGTCATAATTGCTGTGTGCTTCCCTTCCTGCCCTCCTGGGCAAAGGAACACTAGTAACCAAGCAGGCTTCCGAGCTGTCATCTACAGACATTTAGCAAACTCTGCAGCTTATTCTACCAGGAGTATTAACCAAACACTGCAACACAAATGTTCCTTTTGCAAGCAAGCGTTCTGCAACCAAGTCAGAATCTCCCCTTTCATCTGCCCTGAGCTTTGCTGCCAGACTTAAATGTCCTTACTAACTCTTTAATGAACGTTCCCCCCAGCCTGTCAGTCCACCATTTAATACCCACTAATGGCTCCCTTGTTCCTCTTGAATCAAATTCAATCTCTTTACCTTGACACTGGAAGACCTCCGTGATTCAGCAATGGATATTGGCCCCCGAAGACCTTCTAATCTCACTGGGTCTGTCTCTCGGGCTGCCGTGTTTATGCTCACCTCCAGATTCTCATCTCAATTTCACCAGGGCCACCCCTTGGGCCGGAATAGCCTTGTGCATTTATCCAAAGCCTACTCTAGCCTTTAAGATAGAAACTAACCCTTCCTGGAAACTCTGGTGCTCCCCTTATTCCATTCCTCACTCATCTTGTTTCTAACCACATTTTACTGTCCCCAGTTCATGTTTGTCTGGGCCTTGCTAACCTTTGCATATGTATTTTTTTTTTATACCACAACTAGAGTGAAAATATCTTGGAAGTCAGGATCATTGTTGATAACCTGAGCCCTTCTCAATCCTAGTATACTCTAGTTGGCCAGTTTCCCAAATGCTGCCTCCTACATGAAAGAGGAGGAAACTTTCTCAGCGAGATAGAGTCCTTCTCAACTTGATTAAAGCATCAATTTGGAGCCCGTACTTCATGTCATACTTAAAAGTAACATATAAGAGTATCCCCATTAAAGGCAGGAATAATCATGAACAGCACTATTTAGTAGTCTAATAGAGGTGATAGATAATAAACTAAAACATGAAAAGGAAATACAAGGTATACTCATTCATTATTTCCCAAAAGAATGAAAGAACAAGCCATAAGAACTGTCGAGAGAGTTCAACAGTGTCCAAATCCAAACTCGGGGTACGAGAATGAATGGCTCTCCTAACCACAGGCAATTAATGATTAGGAAGTGTCACAGGAAAAAAAGAGCCCACTCACAAAGGCAACAAGACTACCTATGAGGAGAAAGCCACACACAAAAATGGAATCTCAATGAAGAAAAATCAGTGTACTTTACTGAAGGATATAAAAGATCTGAATAAGTAGGGGATATTCCATACTTCTGACTGGGAAAACACATTGTAGGGATGCTGACATTTCCCACACTAAACTATTAATTCAATGCAACACCATTCAAAATCCCAATATAAGTTTTATTGAACTAAAACAAACTTATTCTATGATTCGTCTGGAATTATGAATCTGCTTGAATGGCCATGAACGTTTTGAACTAGAAGATTAATGAGCAATGACTTGCTATCAAAACATCAAATAAAATTATGCTATAAAATGGTGTGGGTTTTGTGCAGAAATAGATAAGATCAGCAGAACAGAACGGACCTGGGTAAAGATTTATATTTGATGAAGCAGTATTTCACACAATTAGGGGAAAGGACAAACTATTCAATAAACGGAGGTGGGACAACTAATTAGTCATTTTGGGAAACATAGGTAAATTTTGATTTCCCATCTGTGCGGGATATCTTTGATTTGCTGCTCTAGATACCCTCTCAAACAAACAAACAAACATACAAAAACAAACAAACAAACAAAAACCAAGAGAAAGGAAGAACATGGGGCTTTGGAATGCAACGGACATGTGACTCAAGAAACTTCCCTCATTTCCTGGGACTTCCTCTGTCAAATGAGGGTAGTTTGTTCTGAAGATTATATCTGATAAAACGTGCTAGCTGTGCTGCCGAGTTACTGGTACCTAGAAAGGACTCGCTGACCTTTTCTCTCTCTTCCATTTGGCCCATGAGAACTTCAAGGGCCAAGAGTATACCTCAGTTGTCTATCTATCGTGGACGCGTGGGTGAATAGAAGCTCAGTTACATTTGCTGAGAGAACGAGCGACTGAACAAGCCACACTTGTTCACTGTTAATGGATAAACATATGTTCACATATGTTCATTGTTAGCGGGTAAACAAGAGATGCCTTTCTGGCTTCTGCCAGGAAGATGAAACACTTCTGGTTTGTGAGAACAAGAAGTCAAAGAAAACCAGAGATCGGAGCCAGGAGGACAAGAAGGATAAGGATTTTCAGAGCAGGAAGACTCATCACATAAATCTCATGTTTTCCAATGTTCTTCAGAGCCCCAGGCTCTGCGGAGTAACCGGGCAGCCATGGGCCAGAGTGTGGGAACCAAAAAGCCACGCTGGGAACCGAGTCTCCAGAGTGAGACACTGAAAGTGCTCATGGACAAAAGTCAGGTCACATGTGACCACACAATAGAACTCTAACCCCAACCTCTGTAGCAACCGGCCTGGGAAGCCAAACCACAACCCCTGTCGTGACATTTGGTACTTGTCAATGACCACCAGCTCCTCTAATTTTTGCCCCCACTGCCTCCTCTATTTCCAACTCAGGACCAACCAGAGAAAGCCAAACATGCTTTCCAAACCAATCACATAAGATGTTCTGCTTTTAGTTAGCCTGCTTCCAACTTCCCCATGTTAATACCCTACCCTCCATTCAGAACACACCAGCAGTCTGCCCTTTTTTTCCCCCTATTAAGCTTTCCTCTGCCAGTCTCTGAATCCCTGCCAAAGGCTAGTGATGGCGGCTGACTCCCTTGCTATATAGAGAGTACTGGATAAGTAGCCCCGATTTGTTCTCATTTCAGTGGCCTTTATTTCCACAGGCCTTCTCCCATATTCCAACTAGATATTAGATACATGTTCTATACTGGGGTTTGTATATAAGGTTTTATTTTGAAAAGTTCTACTGCTCATTGTGTTTTTTTAAAAATTCACTGATATAGATTAATGCCAAGAGACAAACGTCTCAAGGAATCTGAGTAAGAATGTTCAGCTTGCATTAAAGTAAGACACAAGTGATATATAGACAGATGGCAGCAAAGGGAAGCCAGACAAAGACAGGGCAGGGCCTGGGCAATGGACAGAGGCTTCCAGAGACCTCTGTAGGCTTTTTTTCCGTAAACCAGGCACAGCTGAGTCCAGGAGATATAGGGGCTGGACTGTCTAGTTGGAACACCTCCTTACCAGCCACTCCTCAGAGGTGGGCTGGAATTAACCACAGTTGTAAGACTGTAGAAATGTCCACCTGCCAGAAGTGTAGACAAATGAACCAAATATATAAATAAGGCCCTAGGAGGACTCAAATAAGAGGAAGACGATTGGGGAGGTCCTAGCCCCTTACCTCGATGGGAAAATGGCTTCTTAGATGCTGGGATTGGAGCCCTGTCTACCTATGACAATTTGCCTGCCTGAAATCCTAAAATTCTCAGGATCACTCTATAAAGTTTTAAAATCTATTTAAAATAGGTTACGGCTGCATTTGCCCAACTTGTGAATGTTAATATATGTCTCAGAAAAAAAGGAGTCAAATAAGTTTGGGAAACGCTGGTGAAACCAAGTTAAACAGATATCGTTTTAGTAGGACTTTGCAAAACCTTAAATATGCTAATATATGTAGTGAATCTATATAAAGCATTTTCCAAACTTATTTAACTGTAGAAATTGGTTTCCTGCCCACTTATTTACATCTCCCTGAACATCACTCTATGGCATACCATTTTGGAGACACAGGTTTGAGATAATGCTACCTTTCAAAGGAAAACCACCAGCTGGTTAAGTTAATATCTCTTAAAATGCATCGTAACTCACCAAAGGGAGGATCAGGAGACCAGAGAGGAAGTGGCCCAAGAGGACAATTTTGAGGGAAGGAGGAAGAAGACAAAATTATAAAGCAGGGCCAGAGGCCAAGGAGGTGACAGTTGGGTCTCAGGTCAGCCTACCACAATTTAAGGACAGTAGGTGTTAAATTCCAGATGGAGGAAGTCAAAGATTATGCTCAGCTGGTTTGTAATTTTCCTTAACCAACCCTAGTATCGATATCTCGAGAAGATGGAGAGCGGCCATGAGAATCATTGAACTAGATAAAAATGGAGATTCAGGTGAATGGTTGTGTTTATAGCATTTCATCAGTGATGGCCCTTGGCCCCATTTCAGAGTTAAGATAACTAAGGGCAGAGAGATGATGCAACTCATCTGATGCCCCAGCAAAGCCACTGTTCTTTCTGCAGTCACACCTTGAAGTCTTCGATAGACCATAGGGAAGGAGAGTGAAGTGTGACAAGCATCCCTCGTTTACTTACTTTAGAATCACACAGCCTGTTCCTGCTGGTGGCGCAATCCAGAACACCTGGATCCTTGTCCGCCTCCGTGGGGTGCTTTCGGTGACCGCGACGGGGCAATTACTCATAAACTGTGTTTCTTCTTCATCTATGATCTGTGGAAAACCAGTGGAAAATAAACACATTAAAATGCAATGTCACTTCGGGAAGGCTCTTAAGTTTTGGAGTTGACACTTCCTTAATTTTATTTTTAAACCTGTCATTTTGTGTTAGCAGCTCTATATCCCCAGACACCAGAATAGTGCCTGGCATAGAGTCCCAGTCAATGCTTGTTGAATTAACATGAGGGCAGGGATTTGGCACATGTTCCCTGCTCTCTGGGACCAGGATCTTGTGTCAGCACTTTGAGAAACAGACCACTAGGTGATGATCTTGCTTAGTTCGCTAAGATAAGCTGGGTCCCACTTCAAGGAAGCAGGAGGAAGAGGGGGAGGGGGAGTGGTGGGGAGGAGGAAGAAAAGGAAGGAATAATCCAAAGCCAACACCCTCTGAATAGCTAACATTTGCAATTCAGCTACAGTTTTATAAGGTGAAATCAAAATGCTAGAAGAAAACACCCCTTTGGAAGAAGTACACCAAAGTACTTAAACTCTCTCTAAGCTTCATGGCACTATTTACTTTGCGGTCTCTACTTTCCCAGTTTGTGCATTGTATCGGTGTTCTCCCAAGTTAACCATCAAGGTTTCCTTGGACACTGCAAAAAAACCTGGTAGCCACTTCCATTCCCCAAGATTCAGCATATCTCCTGCTTGCTTCTGGGTCTGCTGCCGAGACTTGCCTATCCCTCTAGTACTGTTATAGACTGTTAGACCTGGAGGGATCTCCTGAGGGAAATCATCTAAATTCAGTTGGTCTTTCGTGCCAACTCCAATTGATTGGCAGGAGCTATGTCATGAGTAGTGCTAATAACAATAATCGATAATATTTATGGAGTGTTTAGTATGTGCTAGATACTCAGCTAAGTGCTTTATGTGAATTACTCATTTAATCTTCAAATACAATTTAATAAGATAATATCCGTATTGTACTTATTTCACTTTTAAAAATTCATATTCCTTTTAGGACACCAGGCAAAAAAAAAAAAAAAAAAATGAAGTCACTCAAGCTCCTTAGTTCATCATATATTTTTATCACTGGACAAAGCAAAGGCAATCTCCTATTTTATTCATCTTTACATTCTTTTTTTTTTTTAATTTTTTTTTAACGTTTATTTATTTTTGAGACAGAGAGAGACAGAGCATGAACGGGGGAGGGTCAGAGAGAGGGAGACACAGAATCTGAAACAGGCTCCAGCCTCTGAGCTGTCAGCACAGAGCCCGACGCGGGGCTCGAACTCACATACCGCGAGATCGTGACCTGAGCCGAAGTCGGAGGCTTAACCGACTGAGCCACCCAGGCGCCCCTCATCTTTACATTCTTTATCCTACCTCTATTTGTATATATCCGTTTGTGTGTATCTTTATAAATGTATATAAAATATATGTATAAATAAAATATACAATATATAAATATAAAAAATATATGTATTATTTGTGTTTATACATACGTGACTTACTTGAAGTTACATACAATTGTTTTGTATTTGAATGTCTCTTCCACTTAATCTTAACACTTTTAAGATACCGGTGTCCCCCACTATCTGAAAGTACAGCATACCTATGAAACCGTTTGTAAGCTGACATGGCATAAACTAAAGAAGCAGTTACCATTAATTTATGTGGATAATTTGTTGAGCGTTCCCAGACCCCAAAAATAACCTCTCTAAGGCTCTTCTGACACCTTAAGACACATCTTGCTAACAGATGCATACAACAAATCAAGAGGAAACACAGATGCTCACAGATACAGTTCAAAGCCGTGGGGCTTGATGCGGGGATGCTGAGCACCGTTCCGGGGGAAGGAGGTTGGCCACGCCACTCTCGCTGCTCAGGGGTGCACTGCCTCCGAACAGCTCACTGCCCAACAAATGCTGCATGCTATTTTCACTTCTTGCCTTTTTTCATGAAAGTGAAAACCATCTGTGGACCTCCCTCAGTTGGTGAAAACACACACTAGAGTAGGTCTTGTGTAAAAGCGGGGTGGTAGAAAGCGAACTTTCGAAAAGTGGGAATGCCCGTATGCCACTGTTACCGTATGTGAACGTAATTCGTTGCTTCTGACTGCTGCCTAGTATTCCACTGCATGCACAGACCACATTTTACTTATCCATTTTCCCAGTGAGGCGCAGTCGGTTGCCTTCCAGATCTTTACCTCCACAAACATGCTGTAATGAAGACCTTCACGCTGCTCTGCTTGGGAACCCACGTGAGAGTTTCTTAGCAATATAAACCATGGAGTGGGATTGCAAAGCTATTGGGTTATGGATATAAACGTATTAATTTCACTAAGTACTGCAAGACCGTTGTACAGAATGGCTACACCATTCATTCTATTAGCTAGTCACAAGTGTTCCCGTTTTCCCATATCCTCACCAGTACTTAGGATTATTGGGCTTTCTAATTGTTTCTCATCTGATGGATGTAAAGAGGTATCTTGTTTTCATTTAATGCTAGCAACTTTGAGCAGCTCTTCACAAATTTATCAGGTTTCTCCTTCTGTGAATTGCATCAGAATTTTTGCTGGTGGATTTTCCGGTCTTTTTCTTGCTGATTTGTAGTACTTTCTAGATATGAATCCCCAATCATTTACAAATATCTTTCTGTCACCCAGCTGTTAATCTTACTTTTGGAATTTTTCATTTAATAGACATAACTTGCATCTAGTCAAATTTACCAATTTCTCTTCTATGGCTTGCACTTTTGCGGTCTTGCCTAACTGAGACCACAGAGATATTTTCCAATATTTTTTTCCGTTGGCTTTATAACTTTACCTTCCGTGTTTTGGTTTTCAATGCATTGAGATTTTATTTTTTAATATGATGGAATAGGGCTCCAACTCCACTTTTTCCACACTATGAACTAATTTAAAAAATTAGCACATTTATTTATTTATTTATTTATTTATTTATTTATTTATTTTAGAGAGAGTGAGAGAGCGAACAGGGAAGAGGGGCAGAGGGTAGAAAGAGAGAATCTCAAGCAGGCTCCATGCTTAGCGTAGACCCGAGGCAGGGCTCTATCCCAAGACTCTGGGATCATGACCCTAGCCAAAATTAAGAGTCAGATGCTTAACCAAGTCTCCCAGGCGTCCCTAAACTTAATTAAAAAAAAAAAATTTTTTTTTTAACATTTATTCATTTTTTGAGAGAGACAGAGCGTGAGCAGGGGAGGGGGAGGGGCAGAGAGAGAAGGAGACACAGAATCCCAAGCAGGCTTCAGGCTCTGAACCGAGAGCACAGGGCCTGATGCGGGACTCGAACTCACAAACCGTGAGATCATGACTTGAGCCGAAGTCAGACGTTTAACTGACTGAGCCAGCCAGGCACCCCTAACCTTAATTTTTGAAGAGCAGTTTTAGGTTTCCAACAAAATTGAGGAGGAAGTCCAGAGTTCCTATAGACTCCCTGTCCTCACACATGAACAACTTTCTGTATTACCAATATCTGACACCAGAGTGGTACATTTGTTATAACTGATGAACCTACACTGACACATCATCAGCACTCAAAGTCCAGAGTTTACATGAGGGGTCACTCTTGGTGCTGTATATTCTATGGGTTTTGAAAAATGTATAATGACATGTATTCACCATTGAAGTAAGTATTACAGTATTATACTGAATAGTTTCACTGCCTTAAAAATCCTCTGTATTCTGCCTATTCATGCTCCCCTCCCTCCAACCCCTGGCAACCATTAATCTTTTGTTATAATTGCTTATTAGTTCCACGAGGTTTTTGTTGATTCTTTCAGATTTTCCTACATAGACTATCAGGTCATCAGAGAAAAAAAAGAGTTTCATTTCTTCTTTCCCATTCTGTATAACTTTTTATTTCCTTTTCTTCTCTTATTGCATTATCTAGAATTTCCAGTATGATGTTGAAAAGTAGTGGTGAGGGGGACATACTTGACTTGTTGTTGATCTTACTGAGAAAGCTTCAAGTTTCTTACCAGTAAGTATGATATTAGGTATAGGTTTTGTTTGTAGATGCTTTTTATCAAGTTGAGGACATTCCTCTCTATTCCTAGTTTGCTAGGGTTTTTATTATGAGTGGGTATTGGATTTTGTCAAATGCTTTTTCTACATCTATTGAAATAATCATATGATTTTTCTTCTTCAGTCTGTTGAAAGTGACGGATTACATTAACTGATTGTCAAATGTTGAACCAGCCTTGCATTACCTGGGATAAATTCCACTTGATTATGGTATATGTAATTTTTATACATTGTGAATTTGATTTCTTAACATTTTTGTTGAGGAATTTTGCACCTACCTTCATGAAAAATATGAGTCTGCAGGGGTTTTTTTCTTTTTTTGCAAATTTTTGTCTAGTTTTGGTGTTAGGGTAACACAGGCATCATAGAATGAGTTAGAAAGTAGAATGTTGGTATAATTTCATCATTCAATGTTTGTAGAATTCACCAGTGAGCCCATCTGGGTCTGGTGCTTTCTGTTTTGGAAGGTTATTAATTAGTAATTCAGTTCTTTAATAGATACAATAGATACAGGTCTATTCAGATTGCCTATTTCTTCTTGTGTAATTTTTGACAGATTGTGTCTGTTAAGGAATTGGTCCATTTCATGTAGGTGATATATTTATGGGCATAGAGTTGTTCATAATAGCCCTTTATTATTCCTTTAGTGTCCATTGGATCTATAGTAATGTTACGTGTTTCATTTCTGATATTAGTGATTTTTGTTTTTTCTCTCTCTCTCTCTCTTCTTTTTTTTTTTTTTTTTTTTTTTTTTTTTTTTTTTTTTTTATTTTGGCTAGGGTTTTTTTTTATCTTTTCAAAGAGCCAATCTTTTGATTTTGTTAGTTTTCTCTATTGATTCCTTGTTTTCAATTTCATTGATTTCTGCTCTCATTTTTATTACTTCTCTTCTGCTTACTTTGGATGCAATTTTCTTTCTTTTTCTTGTTTCCTAAGGTGGAAGCTGAGATTATTGCTTAGACCTTTTTCTTTTCTTTATTTTTTTTCATTAATTTTTTTTAAC